TCCTCAGCCAGATTTGTGTCTCACAGGAAGATTAAGAAAGGAAAAAACAAAAAAAAGAAGTCTGTCTTGTGGCATAGGGATCCTCCATGGAAGAAAAAGGAATCATTTTATGTGAGCTAGAACAGAGCGACTTCGCAGTGCCCTGAACTGTAAGATAGCAAGTTACAGTGGGTAGGGCAATGCTATGCTTGTTCTTTAGGTGGCTTTCTGATACATTTCACCACCAGCAGCAGCACTGTGAGCACTCTTGAACACAGAGCACTGATGTTTTTGCAAAAAGCCTACATCCCAGTAGTATCCCACCCTTACATTGACAGCACCGTAGTGAAATTGTCCAGACTTCAAGATTAGTGAATACTACCCCTGTTTGCCATGCTGCTTGTGAGGAGAGCTGCAAAATGCTATATATGAGAGACTTAAAGATAGAAAGTCCACTTAAAACAAGTTGCTTCTTCAAAGGGAAGAAGTAGAGTTAGCTGGTGTAAATTCAGGCATATGATAATTGTTGCTCAGCAATGCTAAAGAACATTAAATCAGAAAGCAGGTGTGGGTTGTTTTTTTTTTCCCAGACAGTAAGTGTTTGGTGATGTTGAGTTGAAAAGTAAGTTGGTATTCTTTATCACTACCGGTTTATCTGTTTGTTTGCTTCCAGGTTCTTCTACAAGTAGAAATTTCTGAAATAGAAGGCAATATTTTCAGGCTTAAAATAGATGAAGCAGCTCCTCTCAGAGCAAGATACAAAGTTCCTGATGTTCTTATAAAAGAACCCACCACCCGGAGGTAAGTGGTAGGTGGTGATTTAGTTACCTTTGTAACTTATTTGGCTTCATTTGCAAGAGTGTTTTCCCTTCTCCCTCATTTGCGCTCCGCTACAGTTGCCTCCCTACAATACAAAGTTGTTAAGGGAAGTAAAAATGCATGTGGTTCATTCGCTTTCAAACATTCACACTGAATGCATAGGAGAAAGTTTTGTCACATACATAAGAAACTTGGGGCTATTTGATCCAATCAGAAAATAGCCTACTTGTTATGATGCATAATTTTTACCTAAGGCATTACCTGCTAATGTGAGAGAAATGCAAACTCTGGATAGGTTTCATTGTGGTTCTGTAGCCACTTGTTGCGCTGCACAGCGAACCCTGAACACAGCATGAATTTCTGGGGTTCTTTGCCTGAGATTTTTATAATATATGCGGATATTCTCAGCCCATCTCTTGTTCCAAATTGTTATTTAGTTACAGTGGATTTCATGTGCTGCTGTTTAATATAAAACTGTTGTTGCTTTTCATTTGCCAGACTGTTTATGTCCCAGAAGGAGGCAGGTATTTTGGTGCTGTCAAGTATTAATGAGGACTACAAACTTCAAGTCACAGCAAACCCCTTTCAGATTGAGCTGCAGTCCAATGGTGAGACTGTTCTGAGCGTGAATTCCAACGGGTTGTTATATTTTGAGCACATCCAACCACCTCCTAGTGACAGGTACAGTATCTGTCGATCACATCGTAGTATGTGCTGATTGTGCTGTAGCTGAAGATAAACAATTCTATGGAATTGCAATTTTCGTGATAGAAGCTCTTACACGTTGAAATATGTCTTCTTTTTTACTTCATACCAGTAAGTACAATGGTGAAATTTTAACAGAGATATTATAGATCAGTTAACCGCAGACTTTTAATCCCTTGCAGCAGCCACATGCAAAATGCCAACCTCATTTAATGACCAATTCTGTCTCTCTTGGGCATAAGTGATGGTAGTTTGTTAAGGTTATTAATTTCATCTCCTTGTATGACTAAACTTACTCTGTAGCTAAGTTTTATTCCTCATATAAGCTCTTGAAATAAGTTTTGTTCAACTTACAATGTGCCATATAGCTGCAAGATTTTACAGGTCAATCCCACTGCAAAATGCTGGAAGGGTGAGACGCTGCAGTGCCGGACATGTCATGACTAGAAAAAATACCATAGCAAGAGAGCATTATTTCAAAACTTGTAATTAACAGAGAGCCTTTAACAGAGAAGTGAAGAACTTCTGGGCAGTCAAACACTGACACAGATAGAAATAAATGTGAAAGGCCAAGAAGTCAACCTAATTCAAATATGGAGTAAAGGTTATTTTAAGATATTGAATATTAAAATGATTTGCCAGTTAGAGCTCTCAACTGTGACATCAATTTTCAGAATAGTCAAGCACCAAACCTCTTCTATAAAGCAGTGCATAATGCTGTATGAGTTTTCTGTTTGAACTGACTCCTTGTGTTAACAATAAACTGATCGTCTCTATGTATTTGTTTTCACTAGAAAACCTACAGCAGAAAACAAGGAGGAGGCGGCAAGTGATTCCTCTAAGGTAACCCCTGCTTACTCCAATTCTAGCTTGAATATTTTGCAGAAAAGAGAATTGATTAATTAGAATCACATGTTCATGATTTCTTCTGGTATTACGTTTACTAAAATAGTCTAACAACTTTCCAGTGAAATTCAAAAAGGACCTGATATTTCATATTGAGATTTGTTGCAAACTCATAGTTGAATAAATATTTGTGTTTTACCAGGGCTGTAGAAGGCATCAGTCAGGTAGATCTGGCTCAAAAATGTTCTTACTGTGGCCTTTTGACTTGGAATTTCCTTATCTTTTGTTCTCTCATTTGATTTGGAATAGCTGTGTAAAAGGGAGTTTTGTGGTGACATTTGGTCACTTAAAAATTCCCTGTTCGTTACAAAGAGAATTTCAAAAGAACAAGACCTGCTTTATAACAGTCCAAAAATATGCCTCCACATACATTCATGCTTACTACAGAAGTAAGATTCTCTGTAAAAATGAGCAGGTCCTGGCAGTGCATAGAGGCACATACCAGTTTTCTCAGGAGGCTGAGTTATGTCCATGATATAATTTTAGCCTCCTGTAGAGCAGATGGCTGCTTACTCCGCCATCCTGTTATAAATGGCAGGAGCTGTGCTGCCTTTGGCATGCTTCTGTCTGAACTCTGAGTTCTGCCAGGGAGCGTGCTTGCTTTGGGGGAGTCACACAGCTGCAAGAGGCCATGTCTGCTTATTCTGGGATGAACGTAGAGAAGAAAACCAGGAAAGACACTGCAAAAGGTGGAAATTCTTGGACAATGAATGGCAGGGCACAAGGCTCAAAGTATCCCCTACACACACAGGACTCTGGAGAGGTTTTTCTGTTATCTGACCCTTACTGTTTAGGGGAGTGGGCTGGTTTCTGTCTGTATAGGTTTTTGGGTTTGGTTCCATCCATGTGATCTTTGCATTTCATAATCATGTTCAACATCCAGAAGAAAGACGTTTTTTACAGTGAGAACAACCATTCACTGGAACAACCTCCTCAGGGACCTGGTAGAGTGCCCATCGCTGGAGGTTTTCAACATGCAGTTGGACAGGTTGCTAGATAAAAAAAAAGCAGTTAACAATGTACAGATCTCATGTGAATAATCATATTTTTCTCAGAAATACATGGTGTGAGCAGTTGCATTTGCTAGGCTTAGCTATTTCTGTTTATGCAGGAGAAACAAGAGGATCTAGGTCTCTGGCAAGAGAAATTTGGCAGTTTCTTAGACATCAAAGCTCATGGTAAGTCTCGGTCTAGTTCTGAAACAGCTTTACTGTTTCGTATATACCTGTGTTCATTCATATTTCTGTCTGCTTTCTGTTTAGCTGCTTAATGTTTATCAGCGTCTCACTCACTTCTTTTAACTTGCCTGTCAGATTTCAATGATGGGTAACAGATTTGACCAAAATACTGGCATTCTGCATTAGTTGAGTTGGTTAGCTTTGTCCATTACCAGTATCATGCAGACTTTTTTATTAGCCACCAGCACTACCCAGCAGCTGCAGTAGGGAGAGGAAGTCTGAAAGAGCTTCCTTTTGGTGACAGGGGCTTCTTAGTTCACAGTCAAGACACAAAGGGGAAGGAAGCTGTTGCGCTTGTTGTTCATGCTGTCTCTGATTATTAGGCCAGCCTGTGTTTTGTCTGTTTCTTTGTGCTGGAGGAATAAAGTCCGTATGGTCAGGTTCTGACCCTCAAGCTACTGCTTGTCAGTCTACAGGATCGCTGGTCACCTGCCATAAGTTGCTCTGGATTCAGTAATGTGACGAGATGATAGCACTGGCAGAGGCTCTTGTGCATGCTACTCCCCTGGCTGAGGCTGAAGAAAAGAGCAGTAGAAAACAGGCAGCTCTGACTCTAAAGTTCACTCTGCTGTTCCACTGTTCTGCAAAGTTTGGCTTGTAGGTACTGGGACAGAAACAGGGAATAATTTAAAGCAGTTTCACTACAGAATAAAGAAGTGACTTGCTGTCATAAGTGGTTTTTTTTCTATTGAAATGATTAATTTTATCTTGTTACGCAGATCAAAATCAGAATAAATACAATAAAATCTGTTTAAAACATTACCTCTATACTACCTAAGTAACAACGAAAGTGAAGTTGAAAGCAAGTATGAAAGAGCTATTTAATAAAGCCTGCTTGTTAGCATTTTATTTCAGTTAGATTGCTCTGCTCTGCTGCTTCCAGCTAAGCCTGAGAATGGAACTCTGTGGTTTTCTCATTAAATGTTATTCCCACAGGTCCTAGTTCTGTAGGCATGGACTTCTCTTTACATGGATTTGACCACGTTTATGGAATACCACAGCACACAGAGGCACTTCTTCTCAAAAACACCAGGTAAAGATGGCAGATTGCTCATGAAAGCGGTATCATTTTTATAGAGGAGAGCTATAACATTGTCTTAATAATTTAGTGCAGACAACAGCGTGAGATATGTATATTATATAGAGCATATTTTTGTTTAATGATATAGCGAGCTGAATCGTAGACCCTCTCCATGTGGAGTAAGTTGTTCTGCTTTCCCTTTCCGCTCTGTAATTTCATGAATGACCCTTTCTGTTCTCTCTCAATTTTCCATGCATTTTTTTTTTCAGAATTGCAGGATTGGTCATGTTTAAGCAGAACTCTTAAAAGAGCACCTCCATGGGAGGATGGGAGAGTTCAGAATTCATATTTAAGGACATGGCAAATGAGCAGTAGTCTCACTGGCAGCAAAAGTGTTGTTCGATTCAGATAGTTAGGACCAAAGCAAAGAAGCAGTAATCTAGGCTGTCCACATTTCAGCACTCAATGCTAAACAAAAGACCATAATGCAGAGTGTTCACTGAGTTTAATGAGCTAAATGGTAATGGAGCTAAAATTGACCTGGTGCAGGATGCTTACACGATACAAATACATCTGTTTGTTTGTCCTAGTGATGGTGACGCCTACCGGCTTTATAATTTGGATATCTTCGGCCACAGGATACATGACAAAATAGGTATTTATGGTTCTGTGCCCCTCCTCTTGGCACACAAGCCGAACAGAACTTCAGGAATCTTCTGGCTCAACTCATCAGAAACACTGGTGGATATTAATACAAAGGCAGTAGCTGAGGTGAGAGTTGCTCCCTTTCCTCAGAATTTAATAATGAAAGAAAACACTTCAAGCAGGGCCATCAGGAACATGGCAACATTAGTGGAGATTTATCTTTTGCTTCCTAATGAAGAATTGTCAGTCTCTTTCTTCTGCCCTCCCTACTGCTAAATTTGTTGTATTAAACCACTGAAAAGAACAAGGAGATGACTCCTTTCAAGAGTCAAGTTATAGAACCTTTATCTTCACAGGTCTACAGGAGAAGGTAGATAGGCAATATGTAATGTTGGAGCAGAGAAGATCTACACCGGTGGATGTAGCAGGCAGAAAAAAAAGGTGGACAAAATTCTTGGCAATCTCTTGGATTTGAGGACTTTTTCTGAGTTTTTAAATTCTTGGAATTGCCACTCATATCTCCTTAGCAGGCTCATTCTTTTGTGGAACCTAATTGACCTTCAAGTACCATAAAATATTCAGGAAATGAACTGAATTCTTGAAACAAAAACATAGGAATTCTGTTAATATTGAAATGGGGAAAAATCTTGCTTTATTCCAGCGCTTCATTATGTGGTTAAAATTATTAATTTATTACTCATGATATAGATATTACTCAAAGATCCTGCAGAAAATGCATAGGCTTTAATTACAGAAAAGCCTTAATTACTTTGCTCCTCATTACCTATTTTTCCTCATTAACTACTAACTCTGTATTTTCTGTAAGCAGTATGCTAGGTAAAGGATTTGTGAAGGATATATAAGAAACGTTCAGTGTGTATTCCTAATACCTACCCAGGTATGTGTTAGTGAGTTTTGTGAGCTTCCATCTTTGCTTCTTCATTGAACAAAAGTTTGATAGAGAGAGATATTCAGTTTTACCATGGTTTCCTTCAAAGCACATACAATCCGGATCTGCTGCAGAGACTGCTAAGCAGAGAGCAGTGCCCCTAACTGATGTACGCTGGATGTCAGAAAGTGGGATCATTGATGTCTTCCTGCTGATGGGACCTACTGCATTTGATATCTTCAAGCAGTTTGCACAACTGACAGGTACTAACTCACATAATTGGAGTCCATATGGCACATTCACCTGAGACGTTCTCTGAGGAACGTGCAGTACCCAAGAGTGGGTTAATATTTACCTAGCCTATTGTGCGCAGGAGGCTAGTTGTTCCCACACTGCAGTTTGTAGAGCAAAGGCTGGTGCTTTGTGAAGGCACGCCTCCATCCTTGTTTTCCTTAGCATCTGCAGCTGAACCCAGCATAGTTACTGCTATCTGGAACTGCTCCCTTGGATGAGAAGAGGAGACGTGGGTCTAGAACTGCCCGTCACCATCAAGGCAGGCAGCCTTATAATGAGAAAAGACTGAAGATAGGGAGTATTGTATCCTGGAGAGTAGAGAAAGAAGATAAGTAACTGCCCAACGTGTCCATTAGGGAACAGAGCAGAGATTGTGTGCAGATCTGGGTAAGGAAAGAAGCAAGAGGCTCAGGAAAAGAACAAAAAAACGGAGGCAAGAAGATTAGCATTTTTTGAAAGCAGAATTCTTTATGTACTAAAAGAATTTAAAACATGTAAACATCCCTGGTAGTTGTTTGGTGTGTGAGCAATGGTTGTTTGCTGCACAAGTGTTATGGAGAGAATGTGTTTGAGCTCTGCTCTTTCTGGTTGTTGAGCATATTGTAATGTCTGTTATTTCAAACATTCAGTCACCTGGGTATGAAGAACGTGCTCTAGGCTCAACTTAGGCCAGCATGCTCTAGCTCCAGAGAGTTACATGTTAATCATGTTAACGTTTCTAGAGTCTCTAGATAAAATCCTGAAGGGCATTAACAGTGTTATCTTCATTCATATACTCTTTCTAGGCACTCAAGCCCTACCCCCCCTTTTTTCTCTGGGTTACCATCAGTGCCGGTGGAATTACGAGGATGAGCAAGATGTCAAGGCAGTAGATGCTGGCTTTGATGAACATGACATTCCTTATGATGTGATATGGCTGGACATAGAGCACACAGATGGCAAGAGGTATTTTACTTGGGACAAAAAGAAATTCCAGAACCCTAGAAAGATGCAAGAACATCTCAGGAAGAAAAAACGCAAGGTAAATAATATAGCAGGAAGAGAGAAGATGTTTCTTTGTAGTGTAGAGCTACCCAATCTAACTTTAACCAAGGTAGTTCAGATACTGGAAACAGTCTAACTACAACAGAGTAAATTAGACTATGTTGTGATCCGCTTCCAGTGCGGAAGGTGTTAATTCAGCTTCTCATGCCCTTATATTATTTTGCAGTTTGTTCTGTACTCTGACCATCAGGCTAAGTTTGACCCATGTAAAGCTCTATTTTACAGAAGCAGCCCAGTGCTGTCCTTGGTGGGCACAATAGAAAAATCTTTCTACTTAACATGAGCTTTCACCATTGGTAGTTGCTATCCTTGCTTCAGCTTTTCTTTGTATTGATAATACTTTTTATTTTCTGCTTGTACTGATTGACATTTGTCCTTTATGTTGACACTATTACATCCTATAAATGAAATGGTTTTTTCCTTCTGGTGAAGTTCTGGTATGATGTGCAGTCTGTTAGCTTAGTTAGTCTTTATTTCTGCTTTTAGAGATAAAATATTTTCCCTGGAATCATATAGGTATTAAAATGTGCACAGTTAATATCTAAAAGTTGTAGAATTGCTTAATGCTTGATCTTTGCAATAGCAAAGAAATGAAATAGCATTCAAGTTCTATAATCTCTTAGTTGGAGCTATCGTACTTTCTCAGCTTTACAGCAAGGCAGTTAAGGGCAGCAGAAAGTAACTGCAAAATACAATACATGGATGTTTAAAAAACTTAGACGCTTCAGTTGCTGTTCTATGCTATACAAACTGAGATATATTTAAATGTATTAAGGCATATGATTTTAAGCAGGGACATGAACAAGGAAGTCAGATATTTTCCCATTCACAGAGTACAACAGTGAATTAAACATTGTGTTTTCAGGGGTTGGGGTACTTGCTTTTATCTGAAACAATGTTTATTGGCCCTTATTTCAGAGGGGTAAGCATGAATTCATGCTCTCCTGGTATATTCAGCTGTTATACATAAGTCTAGCATAGCATATACAAGCACTGGTAATTGCTTTCTAAAATTAGTGACACAGCTACCTTCTTTACCTGAAGTAAACTCATTATCTGCCTTATATCAAAAGAGAACTCTGTTTTATTCAGTACAGTTGATGCTAACGATGCGTTTTATTTTCTTATCCTGGCAGCTCGTCGTCATTGTAGATCCCCACATTAAGGTTGATCCCATGTATACCCTGTATTCACAGGCAAAAGACAAGGGATATTTTGTGAAAGACAGAAATGGGCAAGATTTTGAGGGCATCTGTTGGCCAGGTAAAAAAAAACCAACCATAACACTCTGTCTCTACATTTCAAGCTGTTTTGCAGGATAGTTTAATTGAGACCCATGGAAGTGGAATCGAATTCTTAAATTCCTTGCATTTTTTGTAAATATTCATAATTTCAAATACTTTGCGGTTTCTTTGGTACAGTCATGTTCTAATAGCCTCAGCTGTACAGCTTCCTCTGTTGTGTATGCTGGCTCTGCAGATAGTCCCAGTGCCTGGATTTGTTGATCAGAACAGCCATCCCTTTTCTCAGCCTGTCTTGGGTAGCAGAAATGCAGCCTAGTCTGTTGCAGTGAGCCCAGCTGATGTAGGCTGGATGAAATTAAGTGAACCCTGATACTGAAGACTTTGATTCAATCATAGTGTAGTGATTTGACATGTTATTTTGTACGAGGAGATCTCATTGCAGAGAGGCAAAGGAGGTTGTCCCACTTCTTTGCAGACAAAAAGCCCACAGTCCTGGCAAAGGAGTAAATATGAGAAAAATCAAGGATGTATTGCAACTTCTAGTAGCATGGCATGATGTAGTTATCCAGCTTCTCAGTGATGCTTTCCTGTTTGAGCTCAAAATACCAGGGATGCTGTCTCTCCCTGGCTTCCTGTTCACATCTAAACATAACTTCAAACTGCTGGCAGTCATCCTTAAATGGTGCTGAGCTTCAGACCTCCAGGAATCTACATGTGTTGGTCTGCAGAACATGGCAAGGAGTGTACTGAGTTCCAAGTCAGCCTGGAATTTGTTCTTGACCTTTTGTCTCAGAACCAATAGCAACCACATCATTGCTGCCCATTGTAGAAAGTATCCTAGCTTTAGGCCACTGTATTGAGGTGCAAAGATAATGCATGCATACTCTTAAAATCAGGTAAATAATTGAGATCTCTCACATCCACAGGTTCCTCTTGTTACCTGGATTTCACCAATCCTGAAGTACGAAAATGGTATGCAGATCAATTTGCCTTCAAAACATACAAGGTGTGTATTATAGAATCATAGAATGGATAGGGTTGGGTTGGGTTGGAAGGGACCTTAAAGCTCATCCAATCCAAGCCCTGCCATGGGCAGGGACACCTCCACCAGACCAGGTTGCCCAAAGCCCTGTCCAGCCTGGCCTTGAACACTTCCAGGGAGGGGGCATCCACAGCTTCCCTGGGCAACCTGTGCTAGTGTCTCACCACCCTCACAGTGAAGAATTTCTTCCTAGAATCTAGTCTAAATCTGCCCTTTTCCAGTTCAAAACCATTCCCCCTCGTTCTGTCACTACCTGCCCTTGTAAAAAGTCCCTCCCCAGCTTTCCTGTAGGATCCCTTCGGGAACTGGAAGACTGCAGTAAGGTCTCCCTGTCCCTGCAGCCTTCTCTTCTCCAGGGTGAACAGCCCCAGCACTTTCAGTCGGTCCTTGCAGGGGAGGTGCTCCAGCCCTCTCATCATCTTTGTGGCCCTCCTCTGGACCCGCTCCAACAGCTCAAGGTCCTTCTTTATTTATTTAATGTGATTTGCATATCACAAAAAGCCTGAAAATGGGGAAATGAGAGAAGATAAACTACTGGCTAAGCAAGTTAGTGGCTTTTGTAGCTGTATTATCATAATGTAGAGGAAATTACCTTGATAAGCGTAAGTACCACAGAAGAATTTTCTCCATGGACTTGTTCACACTAAGAAAGTTGGAACTCGTATGCTGCCAATGATCCTGCTCAGCCAGTTGCAGCAGTAGGATGGACAAACTACAGGCAATTTAGCAACCCATAATTTAACAGAACTGCTGCAGTTCCAGCTTTTACTACCATGGTAGCACACAAGGACTGACGTGGGAGTGCTCTCTTATTGTTCATGAGCTGAAAGTGTTGGGGTGAACCCAACTCTGAAGTTCTGCTTTGCAGTAGGGTTGTTGAAACCACTCCTTTAGTAGACGTGCATAGTAGATATTTCCCATCCTGCTTTTCCTTTCCAGTTTTTCTCTTCTTATCTTTTCCCTGCCTCTTTCCCCCCACCAAAAGACAGGAATAGCAAGTACCTACTGAGTTGTGCAAGATCTGCAAAAATCATGTGGGCTTGTAGGCTGCCACCCTGACCAGAAGGGCCAGCAAGAGAGGAGATGAATGAGTGGCAGCTTTCAAGTGATCACAGGAGTATAATTACCATATCTGTCTTTGCTGATGCTGTTTCTACTCATACCCCAGACTGGTCTGACACCTTCTAGAGATAAACACACTAAGTCACAGCAATGGCTCTGTTATGTCCCAATTGCAACCCTGTGTCATAGGGATCCACAAATATCCTCTTTGTATGGAATGACATGAATGAGCCTTCAGTCTTCAAAGGGGCAGAACTAACAATGCAGAAAGATGCTGTGCACTACAACAACTGGGAGCATCGGGAAGTACACAACCTCTATGGATTCTACCAGGTAGAGTATCTGGAGACACAAACTAGCAGTTATTCTCATGAAGTATGTCTAATGTGGTGATCTACTCAGTAGTGGATATTACCTAACCTACGTCAAGGACTGAAACTCTGCTGTGCTGGACATTGCTATATTTGAAATAAATTCTGTGATTGGTCACAAGAAAATGTGACAGCAGCCTTAATAATGTAAATGACATTGGCTGCAACTACACAATATTAATATTTTTTTTTGTTCAAGTATATTCTAGTAAGAAAATGTTGTTTTAATAATCGATATTATTTGTGGGTACAGAGTTCTTAATTTTCCTGTCTTGGGAGGGCTACAAAGGCAGTGTAGCAAATATCCTAATTACAGTGTTTGTCTTCCTGACATTTGTATTCATGATTTTCAGCAAATGGCAACTGCAGAAGGACTCATCAGACGTTCTTCAGGAAAAGAGAGACCATTTGTCCTCACACGATCTTTCTTTGCTGGATCACAGAAGTATGGTAAGTAAGGACAAGCTGGATGCCTTCCATGCTGCTTTGTTCTATATGGTTTGGTGGATAGTAGTTATGGCTAGAGAGGACAGAAACTATCTTAGAAATACCAACATGGTGAGCTCATAAGGGTGCAAGTGATTAGAAAGATCAGGAAAAGCTGGCAAAGTGTGTACAAGTTAAAGGCAGAATGACAACCTGTGTCCTGTGACAAACCACTGCCTGCTTTTATTGCATATTTCAGGAGCATGTGTGTATAAAGAAAAAAATGTTACAATGAACATTCTTGTCTTCTTTCCTTAACTGCAAGCTGAAGCATACACCCAATTTTCCTGTGTTTCCAAATTTCCAGGGGCAGTGTGGACTGGAGACAACACAGCAGAGTGGAGTTACTTGAAAATATCCATTCCAATGCTTCTCACTATCAGCATGGCAGGGATTCCATTCTGTGGAGGTAAGGTGTTTAGCTGGAGTTCCTCACTACGCATAAATCACTGGTGCCACCAAGCTTGTATCCCAAGATAGATTTCAATGCAGATGGTGGGAAGCTCAACAGTCCTGTGCATTTCTAGGCAGTTTCACAGATTAGTCTGGTTTCAGAAGCCAGTAACTTGGCTCTCACCATCATTATTCCACTAACACTTACATAGTGTTTGTATCCCCTATGGAGCAGTGGTCCTCAGGTGGTGGTCCATAGCATCACTAGGACAGTCCTCTGTCACTGGGGAAGGCACTCACATAGCCTCCAAAAGCTCTCTTGAGATTTTTATCAAAGGACAAGTTGTTACACCAGTTTTCCACGCTTATATGGACTAGCAGCTGTCAGACAGCAGAACTGTGAGCACACTGTGAAATGCATGGATTTCTAATATTTGTTAGAGGAGAACTTCACATTTTTCAGAATAGTTTCCAAAAATGTGTATTTTTATTTGTCTGCGCAATATCTAGCTGATGTGGGAGGGTTTATTGGAGATCCAGAACCAGAATTACTTGTTCGCTGGTATCAGGCTGGAGCCTACCAGCCCTTCTTCAGAGGTCATTCTAACATGGAGAGCAAACGGCGAGAACCGTGGCTCTTTGGGGAGAAGAACACCCAGATCATCAGGGAAGCCATTAGAGAGCGCTACGTCCTCCTGCCATACTTATACACACTGTTCTATCGGGCACACACAGCGGCTGAACCGGTTATGAGGTAAGAGCATAAGTCAGGAGGTTTAGTGACTATCTTCAGGAAGTTATTTGGAGGAGGGAAGTTAGATCGCCATCTCTTTTGATTACTTATTTAAATATTAAAAAACCCCCAAACAAAGACAAAAAATACTAAATTCTATTTTCATGCATTCTGTAAGCTTTGGTAGGGTTCTCAGCAGAAAATTACACAGTTTGGTTTTCTTTTCCAAATGACTTCTGGAACACACTAATACAATAAAAACTACACAGTCCTTAAATATGATTTTCAAGTACTGTGGACTCCAAAGTTTTCCTCATGAGGAAGAGCTTTGTGTAGTATTCCAGCTCACACTTAAAACAGTGCTTAATGGACTCTGAACTTGCTTACCTAAAAACATTTTGGCCCTCATGAGAATATTTGTTACTACTGAATTGTTGCTGTTATAAAAGCTTCTTTCATATTGATAATTTGACCATTTATCTCTGCAGTATGTCTTATAATTTTTCTTGTAGTAGAGAATCTAATAATCTAGAACAGCAATTAAATTAGAAAATAAACTTTTGCTCTGCTGCCCTCTAACCTCTAAGAAAGTGTCTCGGTGGAACTGAATGCAACAACCCTTTCAGCAAGAGATGCATGTCATTCATTTCCCTGGTATTGCTGTGTCTTTGAGGTTGTCCTGGAACTGTCCTTTTGCATTGCATTTACCTTTACTCACCGTTATGCAAATACAATGCATCTCCTAAGTTTTAAAAGCATTAAGATCTTTTTGAAGAGGGACGAGTGGTTTAAGTTTTGAGGATAATTTGCATTACAGGTGTAGTGTGAACATCTCTCTGCAGATGCCTCTGTTGTATGCACTGACGTAGACAGTGGGTTTCTGTCTTTCTTGAAATGAAGTTTCTGTTGACATGTGCACTGCTCACAATATTAAATAAAGCTTTGATTATGTTAAATTTGCTGCAGTAGGTACAGAATTAGAGAGGAAGCATGGTATTTTTCTCACCAAGACAACCAGAGTGGAAAATGTGTCTGATTTGTAATCAAGTTAACAGCAGGGCTGCAGTGGACATGTGGATGCCTATGAGTGAGCAGGTGAGCCAGGCTTTTTGCATAAGGAAACCCAAACCCTGTCTCTGAGTGAGCCATCTTTGTCATAATCTCTCAGACTTTAAATATACAACTCCTGTTCTGTAACCAGATGGTTATTACACTACCCTTTATGGAGACAGACTGAAGTTGAACTTCTGGTGCAGGTTTTCCAGTTGTGACCAGGAGGAGACATGCTGTAAAAGCAGTGCTGACAACAGGAAGGGCTGTGCTGCAGGCATGAACTCATCAGGTGTCAGCATTGCTGGTAGACTGTGACAGAAAGGCTCATCTATTTTTCTTTGCTAGAAGGAAGGTATATGTAGTGCAACTTTGTAAGAAAGAAGGCAGGAGGAAGAAAGTGAGGTTGCAAGAGGCCAAATTATAGGCGTATTGGAGTGTCTTAACCCATGTTGTACTGGGAACTCTCATCAGTGACACAAAAGTGGTACTTTAAGGCACCAAAGAGGACCTTGCCCTATCTTCAGTTCTTGATAGCTGTACTTTCTATAGAGAGACAAAACAGAGCCTGAAAATCCCAGAAAGCCTTGACTGGTGGGAAAGGAGAAACTAACTGAATCTCGCTTTCTTTCTACAGGGCTCTCTGGATAGAGTTTCCAGGGAAAGTAGAAACTTTTGGTGTGGAAAATGAGTACATGCTGGGTAAGCAGGAGTCTTCTCATTCTCTGGAATTTGAGTTAAATATTTTTGAGGTGATAAAGTGTCACATGACAAAAAAAAACCATGAAGACTCTGCCCATGACTTTAAAAAATTGTATTGTAACTGAATATAGAACTTAAGACTTCTTTAAGGGGCCTGGTTTTAACAGCACTTTGAAAATAGAGCTCATATGAGATGCAAAAATTGCGTTCAGTCTCACTAGTCACTCTGAAAAACATGGTCTGTTTTATTCTGAAACATGGAAGTTCCCTGTTGCAGCTAAGACCACAGTCTGCTTTAGAAATGACAGCAGCAAACAACTGCCGTCCAAAACTGATTGGTTTTTACTGTGATATTGCTGGCTGCTAAAGTCAATTTTCTCATAAGTAAGGCTTAAGAGATGAGTGTGTGTGTGTGTAAAGCACATTCAGCCCATACAGGAGGAGAGAGCGGGAGGGGAATGATGCATTTCATTATTTTCTTTGTTACCTGTGGGCTCAAGAGTGCCTACTAATGGCTTTCAAATGAAGGGACATTCACTTCTCATGCAGGAGGCTGATCAAGGTAGGCAGGACATGGCAGCAAAGCTAAATGTGATGAAGCAGAGCATTTCAGAGGGCTCTGGAAGTTCAGCTTGCACCACCAGCAGGCAAAGAGGGAAGAAATTTCTCAAACTGTACAGTCTAAATACATTAATGTATTTTGTTTAGAAGTAAAGAAGAACCATCCCCAGTGCAGTAAACTTAAGCAGATTTTTTTTTACAAGGACATTCCTGTCTTCCATTCTTTTGGTTAGAAAAGTGCATTTTTTTGTTCAACCAACGAGCAAACAGGAATTCACCTCTTAGACTATGGGGAACTCAGAAGTGGCTCCAAGCTGGTGGGTATGCAGTGCAGCCCAGCTGCATCCTGGTGCCTTTACAGAACGAGACCCAAGCAGCCGTCAGCTCTCTGCACATGCCTTTTTTCCTAGTAGAAAGTGAACTTAAGCCCATGGCATGCCCAAGAAAGCCCCTAAAATGGCTATAGGAGGCTGACAATCCCAGAGCACAGAGCTGCAGCTCTGATGAGATTCAGCCTTTAGGATCACAGCCATGTTTATGTTTTTCTCCAGGAAATGCTTTGTTGGTGCATCCAGTCCTGGAGCAAGAGGCCAAAGCAGTGACTGTTCTGCTTCCAGGGTCAGAGGTGAGGATGAATATGAGGCTCAAATAAGCCTCATATAAGTATTTTATAAGCCCAAATAAATATTTTATACAGCAAACTTCCAGGTCCCCATCTCATACCTGCTGAGCACTGCCACTGTGCCAAGTGCTGGCCGGCCTTTCTGTGCCACTCTGAACCTTCCTTCCATCTTGATACCTCGCATGCTTGGCTCACAGTAAATTTACTTTCTTGGTTTTCTAAGAGCTGCTGCACAAATCTTACGTCTCCTGTAATTTCAATCTCCCCTCAAGGCTTGCTGCTTCTCATGGAGCACCAAACACCAGCTTCACTAAATTGTCAATTCTCTCTTTTTAATGTGTTTCTTTCTGGGTTAAACTTCTCTTTTATGTGAAAGAAAAGGAATCTTTGAAGAGAGGTCATAAGGAAATCAGAGGAAAGCTATGGGAAGGGAAAATTATAACAAGGAAATACAAGCCTCAGTAGCCTAGGACTTTAACAAGTACAGATCAGTTCCTCTCTGAAGTAAAGTTATTTCTCCACAGGATGGCACTGTGATTCACCCTTACAAAGAGTGGCTGCAGCAGCCAAGAGGTGGAGGAAGGGAAGGAATTTGGGGAAAATAGTTCCTAAAGGAAAGCCTGAGACTCTAGAGAGGACCAAGAGGAAAGACAGCAGCAAAGGGGAGTGTGTGAGACCATGCAGGGCCTTGTGATCCCACTAATGCATCTGAGGACGCTTAGAATCCTTCTCAATATAAGGAGAAGACCAGACTAGGCTCTCCAGACAAGTTAAGAAAACTGTTTTTATCAAGATCTCCGTGGGAACTGACTGCCTGGTGCACTTTAAAGCAGTTAAACCTGCTGACAGGCGTGGTGCATGGAAAATTTCAGATATAGCTCTTTTTTGTGACCTGTTTTATAAGCAACTTCTTTTGTTAATTATCACTTAAATAGAAATATGCTTATTCTGGAACTCTGCATTTCTAGATTTAAAAAAAGTATTTAATTGTTTTGCACTTCTGTAACCTGATAGACTGGATAGTATAAGAAATATTCTCATACATGTATACTGACTAACTTTAGCTAGGAAGAAGCTGCATAAGGATAGCAGTATTTTAGTTTGTCTGAGACCCGCTTTGCTGACTCTGCTTTACGAGAGATGGAGGCGTAGATAAGAAGTTAATGAATCATCCTACTCAGACCAACCTGACGAGCCAGGCTTTGTGAAAACAGGTGCACAGGAGCCTGAAAGACTCCATGAAAGACACAGCTTAAGTGACTCTTCCTCAGACCACTGGAAGACCATTCCTCATGCTAATCAAGCATGCACAATTAGTTTGTAGATATTTTGATTAGTTACTGGAAATGTAGCATATCTGTAAACTTTTTACTGGAAATGTAATACCTATGTAAACTTTTTATGTCATGAATATGTATGTGTAAGGCATGTATAAGCTACTGCCAACCACTACTATTTTGAGCATTTGCTTTATGAAATGATTCATATTTGCTCCCAGCGCTGAATTAAAGAATGTCTTGCTTTCTGACTCCTACAAATTGGTCTTAGAAAGTTATGGATCCAATATTTCAGTAACACTTCCAGATGCTTTAAGGTATGCAAAATATTATGCAAACTGTAGAAAAAATCAGCTTTGTGCTTAAAGAATGTGCTTTTTGTGCTTCAGGAATGAGAATTTATTCTTCATTCCAGAAGGTCATTTGATGTAAAAACTAAATGCTGTTTTTTACACGTGATATAGATTGTTAGGAATGGTGACAGTAAAGTTAAGCAGCACAGTAGCTGCATCTGCAGAGGGAACAGATCTCACCATATGTGTCATGCTCATTCTTTTTTCATTTTTCCTAGATCTGGTATGATTTCAGAAAATTTAAACGAATGGAAGATCCAGGCACTCTGAAGATCCCAGTAACACTGGAGAATGTATGGTTTTTGTTTTAATATACTGCTTCAGCTGAGCAGGAAAATAGGCTTTTGTACTGTCAACATTCAAAATTGGAAAAGTGATATTTCAGTTTCCTTGTAGGACTGTAATCTAAAATAGCTTCTGTGGAGAAGAAAAGTCTCATCTCCTTTCTTGTTAGATGGAAAAGTAATGTGTCCTGGTGGTAGAGAAAAGGGAGGTGATGTAA